TGGTAACGTATTTGCTTGGGTAACCAGTGAAGTGGGCTCAAACACCGAGTCGCATCTCTGGTAGCTTCATTTAAACATTATAATAATAATAATAATAAGCCCCCTAAAATCCAACCGTACGTCCGAATCGACCATCTGATTCACGTAGGGGGCGGACACGTGATATATTTTTACTGGCACGGTTAACACGGAACTGGTAACCCATTAAACATGGAGACTCGATTAAGAAGTAAACGTTTAGGACCGCTACCCGGGGGCGATCGCCGGGGCGCACTTGGAGCTGACGCTGGGTGCTACAGTATACGATCCGTCAGCGGAGAGGAGCTGAATAGGCGGGCTCCCTCCGGGTTACCCGAAAATGCTACAGCCAACTCGACACAAAACAGACAGACTGACAATTCATCACCATCACTTTTACTAGAAGAACCTTATAGCCCATCTACCGTTTCGTACTTACCTTCACCATCATCCTTAACAAGTCAGAATTTATCACATTCACATAGATCTACACCAACTTTAGATGTTACGCAGGAGGTGAATTCCTTTTTACCTGCGTCCACTAAGGCTGGGAAAGCAAGAGTACGCATGACATGGTCAAAAGATGTCAACATGTTTATCATGCGTACATATTACAGTATAACAAAATTAGAGACAGATATGACTTGTTATAGGAAAATCCTGCATGAATTCTTTACTAAGCAATACCCGGGAGTAAATGTTACAGAGCAAAGAATCTCAGACCAGAGACGAATGATAATTAAAAAGAAATATCTCTCTGAGGAAGAATTAGAACAATTAAAAAATGAAGTCAGGCGTAAAATTGAAGAAACAAATACCGATCACAATAACAGCCACAACACTCTTCCTTGTTCTAACCCAACAGACTTAGTAGCACATATAACAAATGATTTACAAACAAACAATTATTTACAATCATGCGATCAAAACTTTCATGCATCTTCTACAGAGCCGACAACACTCACCAACAATTTCTCGACACAAACTTCAAGTACTTCCACTCAAGTAGATATGGCATACGATATCATTTTAGAGACAGATCTTATAACATTGGAACATGAAACTATAGGAGATGAAGTAATTACAAAACTACATGAAGAATTAAAAACAACCATATTTCAATACTCAGGTATGGATCCTACATGTAGACCGAAATTACCTAAACTAAAATACTGTAAAAAGCTTACAACTCTAATAGAAATTTTTAACAATAATATACTGAACCGATTTATTACAGACAATGCACTACTAACTGACATCCATACCCTTGTTTATTGTAGCGCTATGGTGATAACGAAAGAATTAGGTTTAAACATTTTGGATGAAAATCAACAGCCAGACCACAAGCGTAACTCAGAACCAGCATGGCAAATAAGATTACAAAAAGGTATAAACCAGCTCCGATCAGATATAGGTAGACTTACTCAATACATTAAAGGCAATAGGTCTAAAAAAGTAAGTAAAACAGCAGAAAAATTTTTTCGAAATTATCAGACACATACAACTCATGAGAACACAAACAAAACACCTGATGAATACCTTGACACACTCAAACAAAAATTATCACTTAAAGCACAAAGACTTAGAAGATATTCGAAGGCTAATCAAAGAAAACAAGAAAATAAACTTTTCACAGCGAACGAAAAATTGTTCTATAGACAGTTGAAGCAAGATAAAAATGTAACTAACAATAGGGATAACACACAAATGGTAACAAAAGGACAGCTTGAAGATTTTTGGTCTGATATATGGGAGAAGTCAATATCACACAATGAAAGTGCAGAGTGGATACGAGAAGAGAAAAGTGAATGGGACTCAATAGAGGAGATGATATTTGACGAAATAACAGAAAATGATGTCAAAATCGCTACTTCTAAATTGCATAATTGGAAATCACCGGGAATAGATAATATTCACAATTTTTGGTATAAAAAACTACATACACTCCATAAGGCTCTCGCTAAAACTTTTACTAATGTTATATTTCAAAAGCAACCACTACCACCATTTATTTCAAAAGGAATTACATATATGATCCCAAAAAGTAATAATACAAATGATCCATCCCAATATCGCCCAATTACTTGCCTACCCACAATATACAAAATTTTAACTAATACCATTGCTACAAAAATAAATTTACACCTAGAACATAACATGATTATGGCAGAAGAACAAAAAGGGTGTAGGAGAAACCACATGGGTTGCAAGGAGCAACTCATAATTGACTCAACAATTCATAGACATGCAAATTTAAAGAAGAGAAACTTACATTGTACATTTATTGATTACCGTAAAGCATTTGATAGCGTACCTCATACTTGGTTAATTCAAGTTTTAAAAATTTATAAAATAAACCCCATTTTAATTGATTTTTTGAAAAATATTATGTTTCACTGGAAAACCTCTTTACGTTTGCGTACCAATAACACCAGTCTTAATACGAGGGACATAGCTATCCGAAAAGGTATTTACCAAGGTGACTCTTTGAGCCCATTGTGGTTCTGCCTAGCACTAAACCCATTATCACGTCTACTTAATGACAAAAAGAAAGGTTACCTCGTAAAACTGCCTAATGCCGAGATAAAGATATCACATCTGATATATATGGATGATATAAAGCTTTACGCCAGTTCATTTAAAGACATGAGAATCTTATTAGATACTACAAGTAAATTCAGTAATGACATAAATATGCAGTTTGGATTAGAAAAATGTAAAATTTTAAATATAAAGAAGGGAAAAAATAGAACCAGGATCTTACACTGTGCGGGAAGGAGGCATTATTTCATCCATGGAATCAGATGAGGTATATAAGTACTTAGGTTATCAGCAATCCAAACTATTAGACCACGCTAGTTTAAAAAAACGTATTATTAACTGAGTACAAAAATAGAGTTAGTCAAATCTGTAAAACCCAACTAACATCAAAAAGCCTCATTAAAGCTATTAATACTTATGCGATTCCGATATTGACATATTCATTTGGTATAATAAAATGGACAAAAACAGACATAGTTGGCATTGAAATGAAAAACACGTACTATTCTTACAAAATTTAATCATTTACATCCCAAATCTGCAGTAGAAAGAATTTCAATAGATAGAAAACATGGTGGGAGAGGTCTTATAGACATTCAAGCTCTCTGGACTAAGCAGCTTTCAACCCTTAGATCTTTCTTTCACAGAAAAATGAGTACCAGTGATTTACACAATGCTATCGTTAATATAGACGTAAACCTCACACCACTAAACCTTGTAGAAAAGCCACATATAACCGATAATATAATTGACCAGCACACAAACAGAGAATACTTGAAATCAGAACAATGGAAAAAGAAAGTTTTGCATGGCAGACATCCTTATGACCTGGATCAAGCACATGTAGATTCGGAAGCATCGAATAAGTGGCTTGCATGTGGTTACTTATTCCCTGAAACCGAAGGCTTCATGATAGCAATACAGGATCAAGTCATCAATACAAAAAATTATCGAAAATATATAATTAAAGACCCTACAATAGCAGATGATAAATGTCGAAAGTGTCACAAACAGCCCGAAACCATTCAGCATATTACAGGAGCATGCCCAACACTCACGCAGACAGATTACACACACAGACATAACCAGATAGTAAATATAATACACCAAAAATTAGCAATCAAACACAAACTCATCCCAGACACACATACACCATATTACAAATACACACCAAAATCCGTTCTTGAAAATGCAAATTATAAAATTTACTACGACCGTGCTATTCTGACAGACAAAACCATCCATTACAATAGACCGGATATTACGCTCCAAGATAAAGTAAATAAAATAGTATATATAATAGATATAGCTGTACCTAATACTCACAATTTAATTAAAACAATAACCGAAAAAATAAATAAATACACAGAACTAAAAGAAGAAATAACAAAAATGTGGAAGATGAAAAAAGTTTTTATAATACCCATAGTACTTTCTACGACCGGAGTAATTCCGAAGCACTTACATCATAGCTTGAAAATTCTAGACATATCACCAAACTCATACATTAATATACAAAAAGCAGCAATTTTAAATACATGTCGAATCGTTCGAAAATTCATGCAGGATGACACTAATGTAGCTTATCCCCAATTACAATGACGGTTACTTGGTCTTGACCCGTAATCGCCATTTATTTACCAGCTTTTAGCTGAGAATCTATACACAAAAAAATAATAATAATAATAATAGCCTTTATTCAGATCAACTTAACCTAAAAAACAATATTCTAAAGTAAACTTAAAACTTAAAGCAAACTTAAACTTATCTATATATATCTAGTATTTGCTGCTTTTTTATCTTTTGCAGATCTGTCTGCCAATCGGCAAAGGCCTCCTCCAACCTCTTCCATTCTAACCTTTCTAAAGCCACCCTGTTCCACATCACTCCTGCCACTTCTCTTATATCATCATCCCACCTTTTCTGTGGTCTGCCTCTTTTCCTTTTGCCTTCCCTGGGATACCACCTTGTCACCTTCTTACTCCATTTGTTATGACCTCTTATTGTGTGCCCTGCCCATCTCCATTTGAGTCTTTTTATTTTCTGTACTACGTCTATGGTTCTTGTTTTATTTCTGATGACACAGTTTTTCAGTCTGTCTGATCTTTTGACATTTAACATGCTTCTCTCCATAGCATATTGGCAAGTTGCTAGTCTGTTTAACATTTCTCGAGTTAAAGTCCATGATTGGCAGCCATACGTAAGGACGGGTAGTATGCAGGTATTGAATAGTTTACTTTTGATGTTTATATGAAGTTGTTTGTCTTTCATAGCCTCCCTCAAACTCCAGTATCTTCTCCAGCTGTTCGTAATTCTTCTTTTCACTTCCTCACGCATAGGTTCTTTTTGGGTTATGAGTTGTCCCAGATAGATGTATTCATCAGTGTAGTTTAATTCGATGTTTTTTATCTGTATCGTGGTTTTCTCTCCATTTGTCATCATTCTAGTCTTTTCTGGGTTAATTTTAGTCCTACTCTCTCACTTTCTGTTGCTAGATCTTCTATCATTTTAGTGATGGCTTCAGGTGTTTTGGCGAATAACACTATGTCATCAGCGAATCTTAGGTGCGTCAGTGAAGTGCCGTCTATATTGATCCCAAGATTTTCCCAATTGAGTTTTCTAAAAATTGACTCCAGTACCGCCGAGAATAATTTTGGAGATAAGGGATCTCCCTGTCTGACTCCTTTTCCTACTTTGAATGGCTGACTTTTCTTTTCTAACTGGATTCTGGCTGTACTATTCCTGTACACGTTTTTTATTAATCTAATGTATTTAAGTTCAATCCCTTGTTCAACTAATGCTTCCCATATGTTTTTATGTAGAAGAGAATCGAATGCTTTGCTGTAGTCGATAAAGGAAATGTAATATGTCAGCTGGTATTCGCTGTATTTCTCAATAACTTGACGAACTACATGGACGTGGTCTGTTACCGAATAATCCTTACGAAATCCCGCCTGCTCGATGGGTTGGTGCTCGTCTAGCGTTCTTTCAATACGTTTTAGAATGATCTTTGCGAAGATTTTGTAAATGTTTGACATAAGGCTGATGGGGCGATAGTTTCCTATTTCGTGTTTATCTCCTTTCTTATACAACAGGATAATGTTTGATTCAGTCCATTGCTGGGGGATTATTTCAGTGCTTATGATGTTGTTAAACATATCTGTAAGAACAGGTGTTAACACTTCCTTTCCTTGTCTTAAGATTTCATTGCTTATGCCGTCAGGACCTGGTGTTTTATCTGCCTTTTGAGTGTCTATGGCTTTCTCGACTTCAGCTTGAAGTATGGTAGGGATGTTTGAGGTATCCGCCAAATCAATTTCGTCTTCTGTTGTGTTACTTTCGTACAGTCTCTTGTAATAAGAAGTTGCTATATCTATTATTTCTATTCTTCGATGATTCCATTTTCCCCTGTGATTTTTCATTTTAACAATCCAATCCTTTGAATTCCTCAACTCTCTGTACGCCTTTTTGACTCCACCCGTTTCGCTTATAATTTTTTCTATGATTTCCATTCTATTTTGTTTCCTGTCCTTTCTTATGCTATCTGTAATTTGTTTACTTATTTCCGTTAAATGTTTTCTTCTGTCCTGTATATCTTTAGTGTTAATTAAGTGGTTTCTCGCTTCTAGTAGTTTTGTGGTATTTGTTGTTAGCCATTTTTTTGGTTCAGTTTTGTTATTTGCAATTAGTTGTATTTGGGTTTTTATAGTATTTTCTATCCAATTGTATCTTTCTTGTGTTCCTAATTCTTTTGTGTTAGATTCGTAATCTGTAAATTTGTCTTTTAGAGCGATTATTATTTGTTCTAACTGATGTTTTCCAAGCTTAACGTTTCCTAAGTCATGCCTTGGTCTAGGTTTCTTTGGTTGATTTGATATTAGTTCTGCTCTTATTAGTTTATGGTTAGTGTTGAAGTTCAATTTCTTGATTACGGTAAAGTTAGAGAAGTAGTTTTTTCTGTTGGACATTATAAAATCAATTTGGTTTTTTGTTTTGCCATCCGGCGAGATCCATGTCCACATGTTTTTCTTATTTTTCCTGAACACAGTATTTAAGATAGTTAGATTATTTTCTAGTGCAAAGTTTGTAATATGTTCTCCATTTCTACTTCTGGGTTTATTACTGTATGTAAAAGGGCCCAGTATATCATTCAAACATTAGAAAACCTAAATGTACAAGAGAACCTAGCAAATTTTCGAAAGATGTTTGAAATCCTCCAACCCGCACTTAGCCAGCGTGGTGACTTATGACGTGATAACGTTGTTTAAAAGAGGCCAAGCAGTGGGATGTCAAAAAGGAGTGAAAACATAGTAGGTAATTCAGAATTAAAAGAACTACTGCTAGGCAAGAACACGCTGGTCAAATCGGACTTCAGATGTCTTTCATTAAATTCTCCCAAACTGACAGGTTCTCTTGTTTCTAAAAATCTCAGCATTGCGAGACCACGGTTTAATTTTTAAAGCGAGTGTATGGCAATGTGTTATTATTGTTTCACTGTCAATCATTCTTTAATAATAATGCTTATACTCTTAATTTTTTTATAGGTTAATACGTAAAAACACACTAGACTCTACTAGCTAAGTTACAGCCAGCTGATTTTATAGGTAAGGTGCAGCAACTAACAATTACTTGCTAGTGATGTCAGCAAGCGCGGTTACACCTGTTATTGGAGGTGAGGCGATTTGCATGAATGGGCTACGAATTGACTATTACTTATGCATGAGATTTGTTCTGATATAATCTCCTTAATAATGAAGAACATTCTATTGTATTAAATGCTTTGCATACTTCGTCGCGTTAAATTTTCATACAAACTTTCTGAGGTTTACCCGCAAAGCAAGTTTTTAGCAGTAAACTATTACAGCATTATTATTTATAGCAAACAAACAGACACACTCAAAAGGGAGCATTTATATAGATAGTCAAATAATTTTATTAATAAATAATTTTAAATTATATCTTAAAAGTATTTTTTGTCCATATTACCTACCTATAAATAATGGAAATTAATAATTGAAAGTGTCACGAGTTGATATAAAATATGATTCTGTACCCCCTTCATAATGTCACGATACTATTCATCCATAACTTACCTTATAAGGAACAAAGCGTGTTTACAAACGCAGCCAGCTGCAATAACTAGTCTAAACAAGAATATCGGGTTGCGAAGGACAAGGGCTCGGAGCGTGAAGGCGAGTTATATTAGGTTTTATAAATATTAAATATTAATTTGACTTGACCGTTATTCGAAGCTTACGTATTGAGATAGGCATTACCGTTTCCGCCGTTTATATATCTATCCTTGTCTATCCGTCTACTGTCTCGCTCTCTATCGCACCACCTGGCAGGAGAGTGGGGATCGGTGTGAACGATTCCCACTCCTAAAATTATTTCTTCATTGGCGTCTTGTTTTCCGCCGAGTGCAGTCGTGCTGGCTTGGGCTCGCACCGACTATACAAGTAACTCGTAGCATTATAGGAAGACGTTTCTATGTAAGTTTTTGAGGTAATCGTCAACAAAAATTTTAAAAGGTAACGATTCACACCATGTAAGTACATTTACCTTATTTATTATCATCATTTTTCTAGACATTTGTTTAGCACAAAATAAAACGAGTAGCAAATACTTAATAGTATTTGAGAATTAGAAATTTAATGCATGTTACGTTAAATAACTGTTAAAATGTTTAAAAATGTTTTTACATTAACTGCAATTTTTAAATTAATACCATCATGATCTCCCTGCCTATTTCATGCCATGATAATTCAAATTAATATAAATTAACACCATGGTAAAGTATATTGGCACTACGTAATTCAATTTAGCTTATAAATCTTGTTTTACTATTGACTACATAGATTATACAATGGTATAATTCCTACATTTTAATCAGTTACCTTGCAGTGCTTTGCTTACTAACTGTTTACTTTTAGAATATAGGGGTTTATCATTGTTAGGTGAAGCCAACATTTGGCCTATTTAAGGAACATAAACGGCGAAGCGCAGGACACATATTAATATATAGGTAACTTTTACATAAAATATGCAGTGTTGCAAAAGAGAGGGAGCAACACGAAAAGGGCATGTGGAGACATCCGATGATGCCAGTAACTCGCATTTGGAGTATGTTCCGATAGAAATATAACGAAACAATAGCTGTACAGTTCGCGTGAGTATGCAATAATTATACATTGTTCAAATGGCGTACGCAATTTGAGGGTATAAACAAGTACATTTTTAAAGTGAGTCTTGAAATTAAATACATATTTAAATGTCATTTTTATATAACTATGTAAGTTATATACCTACATATTCTTGTGGTTCATGGATAATTGACATTGACATAGAGTAATGGAATATCTATTGGATTGAGAAATCATTTCAGCACTGTAAACAAATAAAGTTATTACAGTTGTAGTATATATGTAAGTACGTGATATGAAGCGTGAAAATGCTTTCGGAAAAAGGAAGAGCCTACTGGTGTAGTTCACAATTTCATATATTTTATTTTCATATTCATTTTCAGCAGACAATACGATAGTTTATAAGCTTTATTTCAGTTCAGAGCAAAAATGCAGTTAAGATGTCAACACGAGTATCAACATGAGACAACATAAGGACATTAATTATTTTTCATAACACTGCCATGGTACATGTGTATATTGTTATTAGACTAAATACAAATCTTAATTGCCTTGAAGAGGTCCTATGAGCTGTATTTTATAAATAAAACGTCTCCCCGCAGGAGTACGTAAAATGGTTAACCCTCGCAGGGTTATTAGTTATGTGGATACCTAAGGAGTATCAAAGGTGACCGTTATACATTTACGCATACTACCTACATGCAAATACATACAGGTGGTTATGTGAGACTCATCGGCAATGCCCGTATTACCCACTAAAATCAAACCGAACCTACCCGGTCTTAAAGGGGCGTCGCAGGATTGCCGGACGTTAATGATCCCTCCACCACGACAAGATAAGCATATAAGCACATTGGAGGAGGATCTATGGAGACCCTAACGCTGAGATTTTCATCTAGCTGTGATATTAATATCATAATCACAATTGTTGAATGTAAGCCCCGTTCAGTGAGCTTAATATGAATATAAATCCTCGCGGGATTGACAATATACTTGTTCCACAAAACAATCTCTACAGATTTTTTGATTCTTGTCAGAGTGTGAGTCACATATTAATTTTCTCCAAGAGAAAATGGCAGTGAGTTTAATATGAATATAAATCCTCGCGGGATTGACGATATACTTGTTCCATGAAACAATCTCTACAGATTTTTGATTTGTGTCCAAATGTGAGTCACATATTAATTTTCTTCAAGAGAAAATGGCAGTGAGCTTAATATGAATATAAATCCTCGCGGGATTGACAATATACTTGTTTCACAAATCAATCTCTACAGATTGTTGATTCTTCTCCAAATGACAATGAAACAGTGAAACATCAGGAGAAAATAGCAGTGAGCTTAATGTGCAGTTTTGATCTCCATTGGAGTTTGATATGTATAGCATAAAATTTAAGCTATGCGTTGAATGGTCACTTACATGATATAGTTTGGTTAAATTCACTGAATTAGGACAATCGTTATATTACTGAGCGTATAATTGTATGGGAAGGCATCGTCTCAATAAGATTGGTTCACTTTTATGAAGATACAAGTCGGATTTAAAAGATATAAATTTAGGTATGTATGTAATATATAAACTCCAAACCTGTGAATGAGTTGGCTTTTGAGCATTATAAGAAATATTATACATATTATTATTTTTTTTTTTTGAACATATGGATATCGTATATCCATTTATCAAATTTCTAACCCGCACTGGGCAAGGGTAGTGGCCAATGGCCTGATCCCCCTCTTATGATGGGAGGCCTGTGCCCAGCAGCGAGTCATTAAGACTTGCTGAACACGTTAAAAAGTATAATATTCTATTCCAATCGTCGAACAGCCGAATCCAATTGGTTTTGGCCAAGGCAAATTATTAGAAGAAACAACAGTGTACCTTTACGAAGTGCATACGTTACGGGCCTTTCTGAATTACGTTGATTAAATGTAACGTAATGTATTTCATATTAAACTGATCTGCCCACTCGGGGCATGCTGCGCTTGTAACGACAGGTCGTCTTTGTTGCAAATTAAGCCTTAAAAATCCTAAGAAATCATACAAACATTACATGTTGGTAAGCTACGGCGTTGAGAATTTTCAATAATAATAAGGGTATTGAAAGTTCCAAGAACGATAAGACTCAACGTTAAGCATGGAATATAACTTAAAATATAACATTGGCAAATACTACTACTAATATATTAAGAATATGACATTTTCTCAAGGAAGGCTTGAAATGTAGCACATTATAGTGAAAATTTATCCTTAATTTTGGATCACATTTATAAACTACAACGGAAATGACGTATTATGATCATCGCTAAAATTGTAAGTTTTTGACATATTATTATGAAACCCCAGTCTGACAGCTAGGGTAGTTCTGAAAAATATGAACTATAGGCACAAATTGAGGAGGTACGTAATACATTATAAAAATTATCCTTAATTTTGCGTGACATTGGCAAGTAATCTTTGCTTAAGTGACACGTTTTTGTAGCCACTAACAAGATAATTTATTGTCCATTGCTTGGTTATGGATTTTACCAAATGACCGACTTCTACTATATAAAAGTTATGGCGTATATTTGATGAGTCTTGGTTTTATAAGTGACATTGTTTTAAAATTTATATAATAGTACTCGTGCCTAAGAAGTGTTCTCAATTTATTGTCATATGTGGAAATATCCTGTGATGTGCATCTGTGTACATCATACGTAGCTTCTTCTACGTAAATCATAAATTTATCGTCGAGGTTAAACGTACACATATGCGTATACGTATGTCATTGTTAAAAAATCATAAATTTTACACCAATGTGTATGTGAACATTTTTAACAGTATATTTCCGTTATGGTATTTTTGGCACACTTATGGAAAGGATTTACGTTAGGCGTTGT